AATGGCTCGAGGGAGGGTAATAAAAAGGGGGGGGGGGGGTAATATATGCAATGGAGTACTCCTCAGCCATCAAAAAGAATGAAATTTCACCATTTGCAGCAACATGGATGGATTTGGAGGGTATTGTGCTTAGTGCAAGAAGTCAGACAGCGAAAGACAAATACTGTATGATATCACTTATATGTGGAATCTAAAAAAATACAACAATTGAGTGAATATAATAAAAAAAGTAACAGATTCACAGATTATAGAGAACAGACCAGTGGTTACCAGTGGGGAGAGGGAAGGTGGGTGGAAAAAGAAAGGAGATTAAGAGGTACAAACTAGTATGAATAAAATAAATAAGCCACAAGGATCTGTTGTACAGCACAGCTATCGGAATACAGCCATTATCTTATAATAACTATAAATGGAGTATAACCTTTAAAAATTGTGAATCGCTATGTTGAAACTTATAGAATATTGTAAGCCAACTATACCTCAGTTGAAAGAAACGAAAGAAGAGAGAATTGGGGGTGAGGAGGTAGAGGCAGTGAATACAGATTATTATTAAGTTAATTAATTATAGCTCTATTAATTACAAGTAAAGATTATACTTCCAGTTTTGTAGATGAGGGAACTGAGGCTTACAGAGATTTTAAGTGACGTGCCCAGGGCCTCAGAACAGAAAATTCCTGTGCTCTTACCCACTACGTAAGATTACTGCCTTTTCTGCGAATATTCTCACTGTTCTGATTTTGTAATAATCAGGGCAGGCTAAACATTCGCTATATTAAGACCATGCATGTGTCCCCAGACCTAGTTCTTTTCCTAGGTCTGGTTTTATAAATGCTGGTGATAAACCAAGTCTGATTTATGTGATGAATCTTATGTGGGAAATGTCTGTGACTCTAGGTATCCTATCAACCTTGAGAAATGGTAGCACAGCTAGTGTAATAACTTTTGAAGATAACCATTGCTAATTTGATGATTACCCGTTGCCATTAAATGAATTGTAAAATTAAAAAAAAAAAAGATTACTGCCTTTTATCTTGAGTGGGACACCAGGGAGAAATAAATGCCCTTTGCCATTTAAAATCCTCCTTCCTAAGCTCGAGAGACACTCAAGGTTACCATCAGGGAAAGCCAAGATTGACCCAGCTGCCACGGACTGGGTGTTTCCAGCCAAGCGCTGAGCTGAGTGTTTTACAAGTTTTATTGTGTTTTGTCCTTTCAATGATCCCACGAAGGAGGAATCGTTATCTTCATATTAAAGGTGAGGAAACTGAAGTTCAGAGACGCTAGACTTTTCCCTTTGGTCACACAGGTAGACAGTGGTAGAATCTCGAGCCCGGGTCTGCCTCGCGCCCACGTCGGCTCTTCATCAGCCCACACTGCCAGTGGGGAAGGTCGGGAGGGTGGGGGGCAGCTGCAGGGCATTTATGACGATGAGGCTGCCCACCTCCTTCTCGTCAGCACCCCTGACGGCGACTGCTCCGGGGGTCCTCTCCTGACCTCTTTCTACGTAAACTAGGAAGTGGAGTGGTGGGTAGAGAAGTTGTGGGAATAGGAGTGGGCTCACGGCCTGCCACACTTGTTCTAGCCAAGGTTGGCGCTTGCTGTGGTCTGGTTTCCAGGCTGGCAGGCTGTCGTTTTGCAGGAGGCTCAGGCAGAGACCCACTTAGGTGGTAACTCGCCAGCACCCAAGGGTTGAGAAGGGGGGGATGGGGCATAAGCTCTGGAAAGGACGGAGGGCAGTAGCTGCCAAGGATTCCCAGCAAGAAAGTTCCAGCCTGAGGTTCCTGAAACATGATCCACGAGGCCCTGGGGCACGTCTGTCTTGACAATGGAAAACACTGGGATCAGACAGCTTCAAGGTCAAATGCTGGCTTTAGCCTTATACTGGCATAACCTTGGGTCATTTCTATGAGTACTTTAAAAATGGATCTTAGGACTTCCCTAGCGGTCCAGTGGTTAAGACTCCATGCTCCCAACGCAAAGGGCACGGGTTCTATCCCTGGTCGGGGAAGATCCCCGCATGCCGTGTGGCGTGGCGCAGCCAAAAAAAAAAAAAAAAAAAAAATTAAATGTTAAAAAAATGGATCTTAGAAGGTGAGTGTTGTTTAATGGATGTGGAGTGAGAAGAACCAAAGTCTGGAACTCCAACTCCAGATTTACCATCATGTGAGTTTGGGCAGATTCTTCCCCATCTTTGAAATTCAGGTTTTTGCTCTATAAATCAGGCATACAAATTTCTACGTCGCAGGATGGGTGGGAGGAGTAGCCAGGAAATTAAGATGGACAAGCATCTGGAGTGCTGTGTGGCAAATGGGAGGCAGTCAAAAAATGCTAGATCTGAATTCATTCATTCATTCATTCATTCATTCATATTTACTGAACATCTACTAAAGCCCAGGCATTTGGCTACACACAAAGGGCTTGGGTGCTTTGAGAGGCCCTGAACTATTTGCTTTTCTCCTGGGAGATGGGTGAGAGGGCATCCTTGTGCCAGCAGGAGAACGGGAAGCAGGGATCTGGAGCCTGGGCCCAAGAGGCAGGATGTGCTTGAGAGACGGTCCTAACCCTGAGAAATGTTATTGTCAGAACCTCCTTTGATCACATGCAGACCAAGCAGTGAGTTAAATATTGAAGGAGCTAATGGAAGGTGTCTCCTAAAGGATCACAGACAGAAAGGGGTAGGAACAGGGAGGAAGCTATCACTTCGAGCATGTGACTCTGTACTATGCATGGTCTTCAGACACTTTGAATATTCTGTAAGAGGGAGGTGGGATTTTCCCCTGTAGAGATGAAGAAACTTAGTCTCACAGCCATGAATTAACTGCCCAAGGTCGTGTAGCAGGGGTGAAGGAGCTGGGATTGGCTCAGGCCTGTTGGCTTTTCCTAGCATTCTACGATGCCTCTAAAGCAGCATTGCCCGGGATGGGCCTCTACTCACTGCCCACATCAGCACAGGAGAGATTCTGAGATGCCCTGCCCTGTGGGATTTCTGTTTAGCCCAGCTGTTTCCCCAACAAATTTGACCATGGAATCTTCTCATGCCATGGGCCCCTCATTCCTAGCAATAGCCTTGAAACTCTTTTTGGAAAATACTACTTTAAAACAACAAAAAAGCAGAATTGCCACCAGTTCTCTTCCAGAACTCACTTCTGACCCTTTGCCTTTGAAACAGAGTTTGTACGACTTTTCTTCACCTTGGGTTCCTTCTGCTGCCAGGAGACAGCATCTTTACTCTCTTTTTACTTCATTCTGTCTTTCCTATTTCCTATTCTCCTGTAGTTTGCAGGAAGAAAGTTTCCTGACTGGAATATAGTATGTGGGCTTAATTTTTACTCATGTTCCTGACCGTTAAAGACCACAAGAGCAGCGATTACCACGGGTGTTTTAAAGATGGGTATTGGAAGACAAGTACTGTTTAAGTGGAAAGAGTCCAGGATTTAGAATCAAAGACCAAAGTCCGGAAGTTGGGCTCCAGAATATCATCTGTGTGACTTTGGGCAGGTCACCCTGCTTCTCTGAGCCTCAGTTCATTTCTTTGTACTTCTTAGGAGGTTTCGGTAAAAAAGAAAATGGTGAGATAATATTCATGAAAAGTATCAGTGTAAACTATAAAGTGCTATATGAAGTTTTATCCTTAGTAAATGTTATCACCATCCTAGAAGTGAGTCCATCACAGACTCCTGAAATGTCCGGGGACTCGGAAACAACTTCACAGTAGTTCTAGGGGGCCGTCCGTGTGGCTTCAAGGTCGGCTGGCCACTCTGTCCGGTGGAGGGGAGAAGCCGGCTGGGGGCCGGTGCAGAGTCTCAGAGAGCATCTCGAAGCATTTTGATTAAGAGACCATTTCCTGAATTCAGAGGACTTGTTTCAACAAGCAAGCATCAAAGTCAACTTGGGAAAGACAGGAACCATTAATCACAGCCCCATCTAGGGCTGACCAAGCGGCAGATGGATTGATAAACCTTTCAAAGGGGAAGGTATTCCCAAGCAGGGCTGCTGCGCCTGGCTGCCCCGCTGATTGAGATTTGTGAGCACAGATAAATGTTTTCCCGGCTCGCTACAAAGAGTGGGAAATCACAAGGGAGTCGAAGGGCAGGGCGATGGGGGCTGTCCTTCCATCTTCCAATGGGTGAGAGAAGGGTAGCAAAGCAGGTCCCACACACCTCTCCCTCCCCAACACCCCCAATTCCAGAGCGCGGATGCCTAAGTTGTATGTGTTTCAGCATCCAAGATGTGCCAGGCGCTTAATCTACGTGACATCATCAAATCCTCAGAACAAGCAGATGTTATGACTTGTTTTAGAGATGAAGAAAGTGAAGGCTCACCGAGGTCAAGGTCATCAAGCAAGTGGCAAAGCCAGGAATTGAACCCACCTGTTTGACGCTGGCGGGCCAGGAGGAGATGGGGGCAAAGGAAGAACAGAGAAGGCTGAGCCCGTGAAAGAACTTGCTCAGAAACACATGGCGCTGGATGAGGTGGGATTTGAGGGAGAAAAAGACCGTCAATAGGACCAAACCCTGCCGAGAGCATCTGACATGAAGTTCAAGGTTGTCGCCTACTTATCTAGCAATCAATAAAGGCCAAACAGTTCCCACACTGCACAGACCCCAGCTACTAAAAGGTCCTATTGTGTTACTCTGGAATTGTGACCTGTGTTCAGACATCTTGTCCTGTTTTCTAACTCTCGGCATCTCATTCCAGTCCAGCTGTCCAAGCTGCAGCCTCAGCATGGGTCATCTTTACTCTCCATCCCCTCCCTCTATGTGGAGGTGGGCATTAGTCATCAACTGACATGATGACTAAGCCTCTGGATTCCCCACTTTCAATGCACCAGGAAGTTGATTCTAAGTTTCTCTGTAAAACCCCAAGTAAATGCAGGTCCCTGGCAAGGCCAGGCTGTCTACTGGGGAGTCCCCATGGGTTGGCAGAATTGCATCATTCTCTAGAGCTTACAGCGTTGGGGGTCCAACATGGGTCCTGGACTGGGTGAATCAGCCTGAGGACTCACTGGTCACTTTCTCTATTGGTGGGAAATCCTCAGGGATCCTTCTTGCAAAGCATGGAACTCCTCAGGGGGTATGACTTTCTGAGCCCTCCTTGGAAATACCTTTGCCATGGCTCACTGATCAATCCATTGGAGATGCTCAATCTCAGTGCCTACAGGCTCTGTGTAATCCAGTCTCTAGCAACTGATCAAACTTCAGTACTCTAGTGCTCTTGTCAGGGATGCTGGGGGGAGCAATAAGTCCCTCCCCTTCAGGCTGTGGCCCATCTTCTTTGCCCTGTGACCTCAGGGATTCCTTTAGCAAGTACCAGGGGAGCCTCAGAGGGATCACGCTTGTGGCTGAGTCCACACTTGCCGCACTCTCTGCACACGAGTAGCCATAGTCGTCCCTCCCCTCCCCCTGCATCTTCTTGCCGGCATTACCTGTTTACTGGAAGACATGTTGGTGAGCGTACTGATGCTGCTGGTATCTGTGACCACCATTGCCGATGGAAACCGGGAGGTGTGGGAATACTGGGGGGGTTCCTGCTTGTGTGCATACACTAGAGAGACAGAGTGAAGACAAAAATCAAGGTGTAGATCACACAGGCGTGAGCATAGCTACAGACCCCCGCCACCTCCAGCCCACACCACTGCTCCTGCTTCCCCAGGCAGATAAAAGGAAGGTGGTGGTGGTGGTTATGTCTGGCAAGGCAATGCAATGTGATAGAAAGAACGGCCATGTGTTTAAATCCTGGCTCCTTAATCAACTCAGTTAGCCTCAGTTTCCTCACCTCTAAAATGGGAATGATATAGGATTAGAAGAGTTTGTGTTTAAAGTGCTTCATACCAAATAGACCAAGAGCTTTGCACAGTGCCTGGGTATGCAGTGGCGGATGGCACTTCTGGGGTGGGAGCACTTCTTTCCCCCTGACTTTCAACAAAGTATTAGACTCCTGGGCATCAACAAGTGATCCTTAGGCATATGTGGTGCATCTGAGAACTTAGGGCAAAAAAAATAGCTAAATAGCTGGCAAAATGAAGGAGCTGGCCTGTTTGCCTACTGTTTCTGCCATGACTCAAGTACCAGGTCTCGTGCTAGCAACTGTAGCTTAATTAATAATTGTAAATGGACACGGATGTCATTACTTGTATAATTCTGGGCTGTTCCAGTCTGCACTAAAATGCCTTATGACATCACACAAATATGAAGGCTGATGGACAAAATGAGACTAGATTCCAATAAAACCTCCAGGAGCATGTGGCTCACTTTTTGTTTTTCTAGTATGTGTCCACCAAGTCTGGAACCTTTGACTCATGCTAGCTCATCCATAAGAGTCATGTAAATTCCAGGTCACATGACCAGCCCAGAAAGCACGTGGATGTTTGGCCTTGAGGGAGGGTCCAGCTTGTTCTGCCAAGGAGTCCTCCCTCCAGTTGGGAACGGGGGTGAAGGTCACAGCCCGTCGCCTCAGCCTGCCCTTCCCTTGGAGGGAGGCTGGTTATTTCCTGGCCTGGGGCAACCGTGAGCTATCTCTTCAGAGCCAGCCAGGCCAGCTGGGCCATGGCAGTCCACAGGTCACTGGTGACCACTCTCTGACTGTCATACCCGGGCCTCGCCACTGAGGAATCCTGCCCAGGTGAGGGCCGGGGGCAAGTGGGGAGCATATCGGCCCTGGACGGAAGGGCAGTGGTACACCTGTGGTCCCAGACTCTGCTACAGGCTGTGGCAGATTTTTTTAAAGCCTCGAAAATGTGATTGGAATGTGAGATGGTACTTAGAAACCAGCTCCGCAGGCCTGGGGATAGCGCCCCGAGTATAGCAGAAGGCTGAACTTGGCTGGTCTCCCTCAGACCCACAGCTCTGCCTGAGACAGCTGGAGCAGAAACTGAAATCCTCTTTCCCATCCCTGCCTCCTTCTATTGAGGAGTCCCTTAATAAATAATCACTTGCATTTTTACAACTCTTAACGCTTACCGAACACAGTTCATACCTATTTTTGTTTCATTTCCCTAGTCACTCTACGTGCACACTATTTCCATTTTACAAGGATGAAACTGAAGCTGAGAGTAGCTAGGGAACTTAACAATGGCTCCCTAGCTGGCAAGGCTCACAGCCAGGATTTAATCAGACAGCTAGGTCTGTCTGACCCGAAGGCTATCACTCTATTCCACAGACATCCCTGGTGTCCCTGTGGGAACTGTGCTTGAAGCAGGGAAGCCATCCTTTCCATGATTTCTCCCCAGACTCAGAGGCCAGGGACTATAGCCTGAAGTGGCCAGAGGACTGGGGGTCTGGGGCTCAGGAGGGGGTAGGGGGATAGACACGGGGGATGGGGGTGGGTGGGAACTAAATGGTTGAAAGGTAGACTTGGGGTAGGTGTAGAAATTGGAGGCGGGAAGCAGCCTCTGTGTGGTGGGCAGAAACTCTAATATTCCTTGTGCAGGATGATGTGCAGGTAGTATTTTCTGCCCATGTTCATGGTTCTTGATTGGAGATGTTTGGGGTGTGAGGACTCTGGAAGATTTTTCAGTTTCAGAGAAGGCAAATAGGAGGCAAATTATATGCCAAGTCTGATCATTTGGTAACAGCTGCCTGGAACTTTGAACTGAAAAGGCTAAGTTGAGGCTCGTTGGGAAAAGGGGCTGTGCTTGATTGGGGGTCTCTTCCACGGGGGCCAGGGTGGGAAAGGGGGCATGAGTTCGTTCCACATCTAAGCTACCCTTACTCTCTATCTCCAGCTCCCCTTTCCATATAGGCCTTAATTGTCTTCATCAAGTCTTCCCCCAGGAATCCTGGGGGTAGAGAAGAGAACCAGAAAAGGCACAGCACTGCATAAGAGTTATGCTTGAGATACTGGCTTTGTTGATCACAGGTAGGGAAAAGTGACCAGACCAATAAGCTTCCAAGAAACTTCAGACCCATAGAGGGAAGAGCCCGGCTGCTGAGGTCCCTTTGGGCTCCCTCCCCGACTTGCCCGTGCCCTTACTGTGTGAGTTCTGCAGCTGCGTCACAGTGGCCATGAAGGGCTGCTGGGCCATGTGGCTGCCCGGGCTCTGCTGCATGAGGGGCTGCTGATGAGAGCTGTGCAGCTGCTGGGAGAACTGGACGGGCTGCAGGGCTGCCAGGCTGCCGGCCACACTGTTGATGACAGGGACGCTCTGAGCTTGGGAGGAGTTGAGGCCTGTGTGAACAAGAGGGAAGATTAGAGATGGCTTCAGGGAGGAGGACAGGTGAACAGATGTGAATGGTCATCAACGGAGGCCCCGCTATTTGCCAGGCACTGGGCTGAGCCTGTTACGTAAGAGACTGCACAGAAAGCAATTTTATAGACCCATCTTATAGACCAAAAAACTGAGGCTTAGAGAGATTAAGTTGACTTGCTCAAATTCCACAGCGAGTTGTGGATGCAAATGGGCTTTCAACAGATCTGACGGAGACGTGAGAGTCTCCCAAAGTTGTCCTGTGACCTCCCAAACTTAGCTCCCTTGAGGTTTCAGGGCCCTATGCTTGCCTGCTCCACCCATGCCTGGCTCTGAGGGAGCAGGGTTAAAGGCAACCACACTAAGGTGCAGATTACTGCCCAGATGTATCTGTCCAGCAGGGGGCAGGAGTGTTCAGGGACCCACATTTGGATAAAAAGCAAAACCCCCTCCACAGTCCTGGAGGTATGGAGCCTGAAGCCCCTCATTTAGCGGGCTGTGCAAAAACCGAAAGAGGTCAGATGCTCATTTTCTTGACTGGAACAGAGAGGGGATAAAACACTGCAACTCAATCAGTCTATGAAAAGGGTATATCTTATCTGGCAGCACAGGGCTGGTGGCCTCAAAAGGACCAGGTATTGGAAGGAGTAAGTAGTAAGTTGAAGGTTGGCAGTTACAGTAGGTGTTGCTTTCTGTTCTGGAAGGATGAGGGCCTCCGTGGTTCTGTACTTGTCTGTATCTTAAGGTCTCTTTAGAACTGGGGCCAGCACTGCAAAGATCAGGTCCCTGGTACCCACCCTCCATCGTCTCCCTGGGCAGGACTCTGGGGAAGGCGCCTGAGGCAGGGTGGGAGTGGGGATGTGAGGATCAGGGGAAAGACACCCCAACCTCTTTCCTGGAACTGCCAAGGTTCCTTTGACCTTGCTTTCTGGGAAGTGGGGGGAAGAATGCGATGAAGGAGGAATCCCAGAGAAAGGTCTCTTTTACGCAAATGTGGAAAAGACACCTAGAGAGCCTTTCCTGAGATGGAGAGGGTTCCATAAGCAGGTTCACAGGAGGAGGCAGTCCTCCGTGGAGATAGCACAAAGACCTCAACAATTGCCTGCTCAGAACCCAGCTGATACTGTTATCAGAAACCTAAAAGGTGAGACCCATGAGCAGAAGGGAAGAGGAATAAGCCCCCTCCTGGCTCTCCTGGCTGGGACTGGGGAGGTGGGGTCCTCTGAGCACTCAGAATCGTGCTGTCTCCAATTCCCCAGGGGTTCGGCTTCTCCAGGCAGTGTCTCACCCAACACCATGATCTCCTGTTTCCCTTTCCTACCTTCTACGTAAGGTCTCAGTACCCGAGGAAGCCCCATGGATTTGCTGTTGTCTCCCCGAGCCCATTACCGCTGCTCTTTTTGGGAAATCTCTGCCCAGAAAAGCAAATTATGCTGTCTAGAGTGGATGACAGTGGAGGGCATACTTCTGCAACCTGCCTGTGTTTTAGAATCATCCTGGGGAGCACTTTAAGAAATATACATTCCTCGGCCTCACCCATGACTTAATGAGTCAGACACTTTAGAGGTGAGGCCCAGGAATTTTATTTTCAACACAGTCTGTGACCCTGATGTGCCTCAATTCCAGGATGGAGGAGCCACTGATGTCATTCGAGCTCCTGCGGAGTGTGACTCTTGGCCTTTCCATCTGTTTCCTGGGCACTGGTTCCTGCTTAAGAAGCATGTTATCCAGTCCAGTAGGTGAGTACAGAACGAGGAATTGGCACTGCTGGGTAATCTGTTATCACATTCTCCTTGGGCCTCTGCAGTCTCCGGGCAGGGCCCACGTACTCAACAGGACAGGAGTCGGCTATTCCTTAACCCAAAACTCATCTCTCGGTTTATTGGCCTGTCGTGTGGAGAGCAGTACAAGCTTGGACTCGTAAGTGATTCTTCATCCTGACACTCCATGGGGTAGGACCACTGCATCTCAGCCACGTTTTCTGGTGACCCTCATCATGCTTCAAGTACACACACACACACACACACACACACACACACACACACACACCCTTCTAAGGTCAACGTACTCTGGTGTTGGCTATCTGCAGTAGGAGATTAAGATTATTGTAAGAAGGTAGAGAAGTATGGGTGAGAAAAATTAGGAGGAACAAAACAGAAAAATATGTAATAGCTCCAGGGGAAATTTTAATTCAGATAGTGCCTAAGAAAATAACTGTGTGTGTCAGCCAAAGCTGGACGTGTGAAGAGAGAAGGTAAGAGGGACAGTTTGTGTATCATTTTGGTTGTAAAAATATAGGTGGGATATCTTATCCGTAGGCCTTTTCAAATCTTCTAGAAGGTAAGCAAGCTGGTTTCAGTTATCCTATCTCATTCTCAAACCCTGGTGTTAGCGTGGTTACCATATTCCTGGAGAGGGCCCCGTGAAAAGGCAGCAAGTTTTAAATACTTTATTTTGTGAGTTCTCTAAAGGCTTCTCCTTTCCCACTTCCCTTTACAGAACTCAATGGGGAGGGCATCAATCTCACAGCTGCTGAGGACAGAGAGAGCCACACTGATTCATTCAGTAAACTCCTGTGTCTCCTAGGGGCCTAGCCCTGTTTTGCCCTCAAGGAGAGCACAAGTCCTTCTCTTCAGAAGTGATCTGAGTTGCTACCCTGACTAGAGATGGTTTAGGGAAGGAGGCAATCCCCAGGGTGAAAGAATGATAAGCAATGTACTGCCCTTAGATCTTTCCCGAGACTTCTCAGGGATGCTTCCCTGGGTCACAAGGAAGACTTGGCCTGAGCTGTTACCGTAAGGCTGAAATATGCTGAATACTCATCAACATTATTACTCTGAGAGAGACATCCACTGGCACAGCCGTGTCAGCCTTCCTGTGCCCTGAAATGGCCCATCTGTGATGTATGGGGACGGACTCTCTGTGGGATGCGAGCTGCTGGGGCTGGAAGGACATGACCCCTCTCCCTGTCTTCAGGCCTGGGCACACACAACCTATTTCTCCTTAAATCTGTCAAGGCTCAGAGATGCTGTGACAGTTTCCTGCAGAGTCCCTTCTCAGTATGCTTTCACCGTGGGCCAAGGAGGTCTCGTTCGACCACACAAAATTCCCCTTTAAGAAGGAAGCCCCTCATGTCTTGCTCCATCTTGGCCAACACAAAGAAACATCAACACAACCCAACCTCCTGGAAAATCCACCACATACTTAGGGATAGGAATGAACACCAGACAAAAGTGTAAGCTACAATATTATACATACTCACGCTTTATCGATTTACAGGCATGTCTACACACACGGTCATTGGATTGCCAACCCATTTTACAGATGAGGAGACTGACCCTCATAAAGCTTCAATGATTTGACCCACAATGCACAGCTGGTGAGCTGTGACCAAGATTCAACTCTGTTCCATAATTTTCTCTTATTTTAGGCTAAACAATCTAAATCTTGTTGAGGAGAGAAATAAGGAACGAAATGAGTTGAATCAAACCTACAAGTGTTGGGTGAGTTTTAAGGGGATCTTCTTTAGTTCTTCTGTTTTTGTTTTTGTTTTTTTTTAAATCAGGTTGACTCATTTCCCATGTTGCTTCTCCCTGCCCCCAAGTTTTCTGACCAAGAACAGAGCTTACTTTGTGCAATGGCCATGACTCCAGAGAGGGGGGTCATGATGAGGTTTTGAGATTGCTGGGGATTGTGGTGGGACAGGCTGTGGATATTCGTCAAGGTGCTGACCGGGGGCAAACCTCCTCCTGAGACTGAGATCTGCTGGAGAGAAAAAAACAAGAGCAGCATGAGCAGAATCAGGGCTGCAAAGAGCAGTGTCCAAAATGACGTGGCTCAGCAATTCCTTGGCATGGCTAATTCACTGGTTCATTCATTCATTCATCCATTCAGGTACAATTATTAAGCACCAAGTGAGGGATGGGCACCGTTCTAGGTACAGAGGATGGAGTGGTAAGTAATATTGACCATAATCCCTTCCCTCATGTGCCTCTGTTTGTTGACTACCTTTGAATTACTAGCTTGCCTTAGAGATTCCTCAGCCCATGTGTATTATATGATTGTCTCTGGCTCATGTTGAAAGTATCCTCTGTTCTGCTCTATGCCCTCTATATTATTGGTGCTAAAGACATGTGATTGCTAAGAATAGTAGCTGAAGAAATGCCCTGGGAGTCCCTAGCGTAGCAGATTAGGGCCCAGGCAGGAGCACAGGGAAGCTTTCACTGAGTACAGGTTCTAGGAGGCACTGCTCATGCATTAACTCACAAACATCACTAGAGCCACGAGGCAGATACTTCTGCCATTTCCATTTCACGGATAAAAAAACTGAGGCTCAGAGTAGTTGTGCATATTGCCTGAGATCCGACAACTAGTAAATGGTAACTCTTGTATTCAAACCCAAGTCTGTCTGACTCTAAAATTCAAGTTCTTACTTTTTACAGAGGACTTTTACCCGACAATTATTACTAAGGTTTTTCTGGGAGAGATCAGCCATTATTGGGCTTCTCTACTTTTCCCAAATCTCTACTATACATTTAAAAATAAAAATTTTTTTTTTCGGCAGGAAGCTACTATTGTAATGACAAAGCTACTAAATGAGGATTGGCTCCAGGTACCCCTACTCTGTTTCACCATTATATTTTAATGACAGATTAGTAAGAGAAACCTACTGAGTTTTGTGTATTTTTGTCCAAGGCCACTCTGAGTCCTTCTATTTATTCCTAACAGTGTCTTTTCCTTATTGATTTTCTTCATTTTCCCAAGTGTATATATAACGGCATCACAGGCATATAATGCTAATTGGGTCTCTTCCTTGCTAGTGCTGATACGTCTACATGTCATATTGCATTGGTTAGAATTTTCCCAGTAGTATTAACCAGTAACAGAGGTAATAGATGTACTTACTTTGATTCTGTATTATCAGAAATGCTTCCAGTGTTTCCCCATTAATTATAAGGAGTTTTCAGTTTTACACACACATACACACACACACACACACAACACACATACACACAACATACTTTTAGTCATGATAAAGTAGCTTACTATTTATAGTTTTAAAATAATTTTTAAAAGTATTACTAAGAAAGGACTGTCCCCCCTCACTCTGAAATAACTCAGACATTCTTGATGGCATCAGGAATGCTGACAGGTGGGTTAGGGTTGGGATACATACATCAGATGTTTGAGTTGCCCTCTCCTTCATCCTTCCCTTGTGACCCAGAGCTCCTTAGACTATAGGTCTCACACCAGCACCCAGGGGGGAAGACACTATCTCCTGCCTGCCCTTCTGATCAACCCCATAGCTTCCGAGGTGAATTTGAAAAAGAAAGAAAGAAAAAACCAAACAGGTTTGTTTGTGTTTTTAAAATGAGCATCAAGACATGAGTTAGGGGTCACATGACCAAGAAGGAATTCTGACCACATCAAACAAGAGAGAACCAGCTTGTTTGCTGGACTTGTTTTTCAAAATGTCAGAGTCATTAAAAAAAAAAAAAACAAAAAAACAGTGACCTGCCTTCAGACTTGCCCTGAGTAATGCAGTCCTTTGGAGAAAGTCAATGGAGTGACAGTAATCTCTGCCATTTCAATGTCTGGTTTTAACGGTTAAAGAGAAACGTGGGTGCTAATGATAAAAACAATTTAAATGTGTATGGCTTTCGCGCTTGTAAAGTGCTTTCACTGATTGTTCTCAATAGTTAATGACACACATAGGGAAGACGTTATGATTATTGCTCTATGGTACAGATTAAGAAACTGAGCCTCTCTCAATGTCTTGTAATAACCTACAATGGAAGAGAATGTGAAAAAATATATATATATATTTATATATGTATAACTGAATCACTTTGCTGTACATCTGAAACTAACACAACATTGTAAATCAACTATATTTCAATAAAAATTTTTTGAAAAAGAGAAAGAAAGTGAGCCTCAGAAGAGTTGAGAGAGCAGCTCTGTGTCACCTGACTAGTAAGCGAGGAAGCCAGAATTCAAACCCAGTGCTGCTGGGCTTTAAATCCCATCCACTTACTATTTTGGGGGGCACCTTGGTCAAGCTCCTTCCCACTGTAAAATGCAACCATCATCTTCTATTTGCCTTCAGGACTGATGGAAGCCAGGGAGCTGCCGAGAATACCCATCATGATCCTCACAGGATAATCCAGAGAGTTTGAATGGGATCAACGCTGCCTTTTGCAGTCCTTTGCTTTGTGCTTCACATACCTACCATCTACAAGGTTGGTACTATTAACTCTCCTTTGCAGACAAGAAGACGGAAGTTTGGAGGAGTTAAGAAATGTGCCCAAGTGGTACAGTGGCCATGAAGAGCAGGCGATCTGCCTCCAGGCCTGAGCTTTTCACTATTAAGCTCTACTGCTTTGATACTGTGGAAGCATCCAGCATGTGCTTTTCTAAAACACAAGGTTCAACAGACACAGACTGCAATCTGAAACCTGGCCAGCTCTTTGTGGACGCATGCCATTTGGGCGTGGGGTGGGGGCCAAATAGAACAAAAGAAAGCTCAAATGGATCACCATTATTTCCAAAACCAATCCCTGTGGGAAGATTTCAAATGCACATCCTACCACAGGTCAGCACACGGAGACTGTCATTCCCTGGATGGGTCTTATCCCCAAAACAGCAGAGTTACAGGCAATCCTTATACCACCCTGGTGATGCAGGCATTGTTATCCCCCATTTTCCAGATGAGGAAACTGAAGTTAAGCAACGTCCATCCTATGGCTGATAAACAACAGAACCCAAGACGTGGACACACTAGTTCCCTTGCTGCGTTATTTTAAACCATACTCCACTCCTGTCTTTGGTGGACCAGGATCTGTGATGGGCTTGTTATATATTAACCGAAAACAGACTCTTGAATTTGGGCATCCAGTGATAGTGACATAACATATGAGCCAGGGTGTTGGAAACTAGAGAAAAGCCGGGCCCTGCAAACAAGCTTCCAGGTGTTTGCTAACGTTGAGGTGTGCTGTCTTGGTCAATCATCAATCCAATAACATACTGCCCATTAGGGCTCTGCCGAGCAGAAGAGGAAGAAAGAAGCGTCTCCTGCGGCTGCCTTTGGAGCGCCCCGGCCTGGGTGAGGCAGTTCTCTTGTTAGGAGGAAGGGCAGGAGGGCTCACAGGGAAACCCCAAGGACCCTCAAGCAATAGGAGAGAAGAACTGTTTCCTCCGCTGGGAAGCCAAGATCTCTCCCGCAAGCCCCGCCCCCCTCCTCCAGGGAAGTCTGGGCAATCCTTTAACTTATTTGGGTCTCACAAGGCAGCCAAAGAAGAAGCTTAAGGGATGAGGGGTGGGCAAGGGGGCCGCAAAAGGGCTCTGCTAGGAGCATCTTTCATTTCCTTTTGCAGAGACCACTACCAGGGAGCGATCAGCTCAAGTCCCCGAACTAGAGTTGGCCAGGCCTGGCGCTCCCCTCGGATATTACACTTTGTTTTTTCCTCCAGGGAGCTGGGGACTCAGTCACCTGTGACTCACCATTCCTGTGTTGCCTACACGGCACACACGTCAAGGTCTAGAATGGCATCGGCTTCCTGCCCGCCACCCCCCCGCACCCCCCACCGCCTCTAGGTCAGACACCTTGAAGGAAGGCATACGGCTCCACCTTGAGCTTGGAAGCCAGGAACCCATGGCTCCTCCCTCCCGTGAAACACAGAGCATGACCCAAAGAATCAAGTTTTCCACATCCTACCCTTCCTAGTGCTCTCTTGGAAGCCGCCCTCCCCTGCTGCACTTGTGTTGCTTGAGGATTAGAACGTCAAAAATTCAACATCAACTAGTCTATTCCTCACCGGGCGGGGCTGCTCAACTGACATCTGGGGCTGGGCTGTGGTTATGGGTATAGACAACTCCATTTAGGGAGAATAATACTGATATTCACCTAACAACAACCGCGTTGTCGTTCATTGAATATTTACCGTCCCAAACACCGTGCCTCTCATGTTATCACCTTTGTTCCGCCAACAACCGTAGTGTTATTACTTTTTATAGATGAGAAAGAAAGAGCTAGAACCTGCCCAAGGCTACACAGCTATTAAGTGCCAGTGCTGGGATTTGAACCCGGGTCACTGTAACTTCAAAGTTGGTGTTTCCCACTCACCCTGTAAGCACCGCCCCACCCCACCTGCCATTTTGTGCGGTGATCTTCACTGCCGTCCAGTGTCCTTCAAAACCCCCTTGGCCAGAAGCTTCCCCACCTCTGGCCATCCACTCAATCCTGACTTAACTACCCTCCTTGCCAGGACCAGGGGGGGTGTGAAGAGGAAGAGGGGGCTTGTTTCAAAGTGAGGTGCTCTCTGGGTTAAAAAACTGGCTTTGGAGGCCCTGGGTTGGGGGGGGGGATGAATGAGCATTTTATCAACTCAAATGTCACTGGCAGCCCCAAAACAAACAGTGTCCCACCCGCTTTGCTCCTTTATGAGGCATTCAATCAATAAAACGAGAGCAGGGCTCTGTCAGATTTATTGGCTGGGCTCAAACCGAACACCTCTTCCACCCGCCAAAGGCTGGGTCACCGGTTCTGCCTTTCCGTTCCAACTCTGGACGGCCCCCATTTTCCCCTGTGGGGCTACAATGGTTCATTGTTTGAGGCAGGCCTTGTGAGAAGTTGTGTTTGTTTTGCCTCTTATCTTATCAGCTCCAGAGCTACAATGGCCCAGGTGTACTCACCATTTTACCATCAGGTGAGAGGAGATTGTGGCCCGGGTCCAGGCTGGCTGGAGAGACTTGCTGTAAAACAGACTGGCTAGTCACCATGGCGCTGTTGCCATGGTGACTGATTGTTGAGGAGGAAGTGACCTCATTGTTTCCCTGCTGGCTGTAGCGCACTCCTGCAAAACAAGGCAGACCCAACAGCGAATATTAGTGCCACCTGACCCGAGAACACTTGCTTTCTAGGGTGGATGACAAGGAAGAAAAGCTGCCTTCTAATCCGCTGTCTTTCTCTAGGGTAGAGGTTGCATGGCCTCTGCTTGAATTCTAGAATGTAATCTCCATGAGGGCAGGATGTTTTTATCTGTTTTGTTTTGTTCATTGCTGTATTCCCTCGGTAGCCACTCAATAAATATCTGTCAAATGAATGAACGAACGAATGAACAAATGAATGGATTCTGATTCTTGTTGCTTCAGCGTGGTTCTTTGAGGATTTAGGGGCTTCTCTTTCTGGCTGGTGTATTTCTTTTGTTCTTCAAAATGCCTTCTAGAAATGTTTCCCTGGCATCGCTTGGCCAAGTAGGGCTTCAAAGCATGAGTTGATGGATTTTACAGAGAGGGACTGGCCCAGCGACCCTTATAAGGGCCACAACAAAATGCGCCAGACTCTGTGCACCACCATTTTGGCCAAGCCCAAGAGGCCAGGGGGACACAGGCGGAGCAGGGTTAGCATGGGGCTGAAGCTAGGAGTCTTTGGTTCTGGAACTCACATTCCTTTGGTGGGGTCCCGTTTGGCTGACTTCCAGGGCCCAGGGGAAGGCGTGTCTGCTAGGAGGTGGGGCAGGCAGCATGCACAGGCAGGAGGTGGATGCCTAGTAAACCACTGCAGTTTGGTCTGCAAGGGAGGGGAGAACCAAGCATGTGTACAACGTCACTGCTCTGACCCTCCCTCTCGCTCGGGAACCAAAGCGCAGGTCTGTGCTCAGGAAAGGGACAGTACTGGGCAGAGACCAGGTGGCTGAAGGGAGCTGAAGGGGGAAGAGAACCTGGGCCCAGTGTGCAGAGTCCAAGTCCTGCTTGATGTGCCCGTGAAACAGCCAAAGACGAAGCCAGGGGTAGCTGGGGCATCTCACCCTCAGCTCAAAGCTGAGAAAGACAGTGTTCTGGTTTATGCTTTGGATTGGACAGAAAGGTTCAGGGGACCCTGTTCCTACCTGCAAGGGATGGAGACCAAATGCCTTAGGCATGGAATTATTTGGAGAGGAGGACCAACTTCTCCTTTGTTTTCCATTTTGCCCAGTTCCCCAGGATCAAACATCACTGTATCAAGCATCCGAGTTCTGTTGGTCCGCTTGCCCCCTGCCTTGCCCCCTGCCCTGCCTCCTGCCCTAACCAGCAGCCTCTTATTCATGAAGACAAAGCTTGCCAAGAGGAGATCCAAGCTAGTTTTCCTTGAATTGTGCAAAGGACGTTCCCCAAGGCTGATATGACCTAGAGCTTAAGAGGGCTGGGGAGAAAACAAACAAATGCTAGGGCAGGGTTCTAACCTTCAGGAGCACCTTGTTTGACTACGAAGTGGCTTGATGCATGCTCTGTGGGCTTCTTCTGTTGGTTCTTTCCCCATCCTTTGATTCAAGGGGCTGCTGGGGGGTGGGGGTGTTGGCAGACGGCCAGCACTGGAGTTTGGTAGTTATAGGTCTGGAGCACTATATTTTGGTGGTGGTGGCGAACAGGAACCATGAAGCTAAGAGGAAGAAAGATTTCCACGTCTCCAAACCCACACCGCCTGCCCAGTCCTGTCTGTCTTCCTCTGCACCTACCTGTAGCCCCTAGGTCTCCTCTTTACCACCCTCTACTCCATCCCGTTGGGCTAAATTAGGTCCTTTTTCTCCACTCATATTTGCCACCGGGTTCCCAGCAGGATGCTTATTTAGGAGAAGAGAGATCTGGAACTTGTGAGCTCAGAAGGCAGCTGGGTCCAGTAGAAAAGGGGGAGACAGATTTCAGATCAATTAAACGAAGGATTTTCTAACAAGGAGGGCTAGCGGGAAGATTGTGTGCTCTGGAGCTGGACAAACTCGGGTTTCAATGCTGACTTTGCTCTTAACAGATGCGTGATCTTGGGAAAAATCACTCTCTCTCTCTGTGGCTGTTTCCTCTCATAAAGTGAAGACGCTTCCTTAATAGGGCTAGTTTGTATTAGAGATAACATCTATAAAGCTCTCAGCAGAATGCCAAATAAATGGCAAACACGGCTAGGGATGCTGCAGGAAGGGAGCTGGTGTAGGGATGGAGCCCAAGATATTTGCCCTAAGACTCTAGAATTCTGGACAATGAACAGTAGGTTCTAAGTACTGAATGGAATTACCTTTCCACGGAGAATCATTTCCAAAGAATCCAACTCTGCTGCAACCACTGATGCTTTGTCCTGGAAGCAACTTGGGAGGGAGGCCTGGCCCCTGGCCCTCTTGTTCTTTCCTTTTGGAGAAACTGGACTTCACCCTGTTTTTCTCCTGCTTCCTCTGACTCCCTGACCAGCTATTTACCTCCCCAAGATGCTCTGCTCCTGAGAGAGCAGTGATAACGCTGGGAGTCAGGTGTGTTTTCACCTCCCAGCTTGTCCCCATCATTGATTCAGTCTCAAGTCAAACAGACGCTCGTTTTCGCCTATTTAATTTGGCTGAAGGAAGAGGGCCAGTCCTCTGGTGATCTAATAGGGGTCGTGGGGAGACTTCCCTCCTACCCCAGGCTACCTAATTATTTATTTAAAAATAATTAACCAAAGATCGCCACAGGAAACAAAAGCTTTCTTCACAAGGGAGCCTGGCAGGAGGGAGGCAGGAGCCATTTGTTAGAATCCCGGCAGCATAGCCCAAGGCTGCTGTGCTTTGTAGACCTTGTTTTCTCCCCCAGCGGAACTTCATTATATGAGAAATATAATGATGGAGCTGCTCTCTTCAAAGACAGATGGGCCTAGACCTCTGCACCTCCCTTTAAGGACCTTTGGTTAAGAGATAGCGTCTGGCTGGGGATTAAGGGATCCCTGTTTTGAACTCAGCTCTGCCATCAGTGTATTGGGTGAGCTCTAGCTCCCTCAGCTCTCAGCCAGAGGAGTGCCTACTGTGGGGAGGGGGCTATCATCACCACACTACTCTCGCCAGAGTGTGGCGAGAGATGGGCACGAGGCTGCTCATCCGCTCCAGGTGCACCTGTAGCCTTTCCCACTGACACTCCTCTCACCAGGAATTTGGCAATCACTCAGGCTCCTGAGAGGGTGGCTGTAATCAGCCAGCCGCCTTAAAATGGGGTGCGGAGGTGGAGGGTGTATCACAAGGTCTCTGCCGGCGAGACCAGAAATCGATGTTCTCGTTAGAGGAAGGAGAGGCCAGGTCCCTGTGTATTTCACAAACTCAGAAGAGCGCTTGAAGGGAGAACCAAAGTAGAGTGAGCTCTGGTGCCAGATGACACGGGTTTAAATCCTGGCTCTACCACATAGCAGCTGTGTGACCTTGGGGGAATTACTTAACCTCCCTGAGCTTCAGTTTCTTTATTGTTAATGATTTCCATCCCTTTGGTCATTGGATGAGTTATGGGCGTGAAATTACCCAGGCCACGCTTGGCACACAACAGTTACTCGAGACACATCTGTTCCTCCTATTTGGGGATTGTCTTTGTTTAAAAGACATTTTTAGGAAGGCTGAGTTCACAAAACTTCATTGAGCGCCTATCCTGTGCCAGGCATTGTGGCAGGGAGCCTGTAAGAAGTGGAATGGCATCTTTCCTTCTCCCTTCACCATTGCAGGCTCTGAAAATGAACATACGACGAGGGCTCTGGTTTAATAGTGACTGACTGAAGATGCCAGGCTAATAGCCACAGAGGTCCCGTAGGAGAAATGACAAAGCCAGACGGTGGTCATGTACTTTCCACTCACTTCCTGGCTCAAGTCACTAATTGGCCACATCCCTATCAGCAGCCCTAAGAACCACAGCAAGTATGTCCCAGCAGCAAAAGCCATCTTAGCTGGAATCTAGAGACATCCCTGAGGCCTTGGAGAGGAGGTATCTACTCTCACCTGTTCCCAGGCCTCAGCATCATGGGTGATGATGCCATTTCTGAACTCCTGACAGCATGTGGGACAGAGACAAATCATTTGGTTTCTATCCAACGTGACTGGTCAGAAGTGACAAAACATGAAAGAAGCTTATGGTTCCAGAAGCCAGCCTCTCCATACGCTGCCTTCCTGTACCAGCACCCAATCCAGGGTGCTCTCCTCACTACTGCAGCCTGGGATTTCTTTCTAGAACAAAACTGCACCATGTCACTGCACTCTTTGGAAACCTAACGCTGCTCCTCATTGCCTTCTGGAAAAGCCCCAACACCTCAACGGCAGAATTGGGCCGTTGTGACTCCAGTCTGCCTTACTGGTATCATCTGTCACCACATCCCATACAGCCATGCCAGAGCCCTGCCACTCCTCAGCCAGACCCTGCCATCTCCTGCCTCTGTGCCTTTGCTTATGCTGTTCCCTGCTCCTGGAGAGCTCTTCCCTTCTTCTCCATGTCCCATCATTTAAAAGGGCTAAATGTCACCTCTTCTGTGAAGCTCTCTTTGATTCATCCTGGTAGTTATCTGTTCCATCCTTTGTATTTAACATACAGTAGAGACTCTTACAGCAGGAGCTGGTAGCCCTGCACTAAAATGCTCTGATGATATGTTTCCTTCTCTCTCCCTCTTAAAGAGATGGCTTTTTACTCATTAGTGCATCCTCAGAGCCTAGCAGAGGGGCTGATGTGTGAATATTCATGGAATGAGGGAATAAGCCCGCAGGTGCTTTGAGGATCCTTGCCCCAGAGAACAAGGGAGCGTCCCTTCTGGCAGAAGGAGAAAATACAGTCAGTTCTGCGGTCATATTGGTATTAACAGTGTGGATTGGTTCCAATTCTATTGATATATTAGGTAATAACTTGAGTACAACATGAATTGCATATTTGAGGGATTCAGAAATCTGCACCCAGCTGAATGGAGCCACACAGGAATATACGATTGCTTTTCTTTTTTTTTTTTTAGTTTTTTAAAAAATTGAAGTGTAGTTGATTTACAGCATTGTGTTAGTTTCTGCTGTACAGCAAAGTGGTTCATTTATACACATATATACATTCTTCTTTATATTCTTTTCCA